ATCTGCTCGGTTAGCATATAGTTCAACATCAACATCAACATCTCATCTTTTTTCGGTCCAATCCAATAAAGAGGAGTTTTGTTATTTGGCTAATGTTCGCGTGAAGTATGAAAATATTGGCCGTTTCAATAAGATGTTCACAGCATTACTTCAAATTGCGTCTTATTTACTTCAAGTCTCCTTGTCATCTCTTTCTTGCCATTTTGACAACACTTTTCTACTTTCCAAATGAAAAAATTTTTCAAGAATTTCGAAATTCCATCGTTTATTTTCGAAACTTATTTTATAGATTGTAGTATTACTAAACTATTATCATTTACTTGCTTCCTCGACCTCCAGTAGTCTTGTAAATCTAGCATTCCAAGGCTTAGTAAATGTTCTATCACCACTCAGCCCTGCTTGTTTCTATTGCCTGTGCTTGCTAGTTTATAAAAGTGCTTAAGCATGCTTTACATCTCCATTAAGAAATTTCAAGCACTTTCGTATTTATAACAATTTACACAGAAATCACTTCATGAACTACTTTATTCATAATCTTGTTTCCCCGTTTTACATTTACAATTTTTTATAGTTAAATCAAGAGTTTTAAAGTAAATCAGCTGATTGTCTATCATTATTTCTAACCTACAAAAATCTCTGCCAGATTTTTGTAGGTAAGAAATAATGATAAACATGATTTTAACTATTTTCTTCCTTGAAAATTGCATTTCATCGGTTACCAATTATGATATTTCTCTGCTATCCATTGTCTCTCTAGAATAGTTTTTAATTTTACGATAATCTAAGCATAAGTTTGGAGTACTTGCGTCATATTTTCTGCTTATTTCTGTGAAATAAAATCATGTAGATCGGAATATCAAATACGTAATAAAAATTTTCATTTCTGTAGGCATTACATATTATTTACAAAACAGCGAGAAATAAGGTTAAAATTCAATTTAATGACTGAAGTGTGGAAGAAAAATTTATGTCAATTCTTTCCATTGCTCTGTTTGATTTCTAGTCGGTTTCTATTCATTTTTTGATAAATAGGAATTATTTCGAGTAGAAGGAACGGATCACTGACAATTAGACAGTAGTTTGAAGCTTTTCCACATTACTGAATTGATAAAGAATGTGCTATTTTTCGTTTTACGATTTCTCGCTATTTTGTGATCAGTCTGAAGTAAGTCTCTTCCATTAGTTTCCTTGAATTCCTTGAATTTTAAGAGGGTGGTATATGAAAATATGTGAGCATTGAACGAAATATGAAATGAAGCTGTAATTTGTTAATAAACGTAGCTGCAGCAATAACGAAGAAGCAGATCTCGAAGTATGTAATTTAAGTTTTGCTGAGATGGAATTTTTTAATGGAGGGCAGTGGTTATCTATGATTTATCTTTCATATATAAGTGAATGAGCGATTGTCCATATTTTATTTTAAAATTTAGATAGTAAGTAGAGGAATACAATAATTTGCTGATGTCTTGAATGTGTGTCTTGTTAGTCGTGATTTCTGATGCTTCCTTCCTGATTCATTTTTAGAAACTATTCATTGAAATCTTTATTTACATTCCTGTAATACAAACTTCTTTCTCTTTATTTCACCGATCACTTTAGGCTTTTAAACAAAATTATTACCTTTTATTTCTGCTTAATCTATGATTTTTATTGGTGGAAAGAAGAAATTGGTTAAAATTATTTGCACTCACTTATGGTCTTTAAAAGTGGAATTCGTGATTTCATTTTCATATTAATCATAATACGATACTGTATTTTCAAATTTAGTTCTTAATTTATTGCAGATTATCATTTCAAGAAGTCTTTTCACGATATTTCAAAGAATTGTGAAGCTTCTTATGCTTTTATGAAATAATTTTGGCATTCGATACATAATTACAGGTATTCCAAATTTTTTAGGGAAATTATATACGATATTAATGACACTAAGCCAGATCACAGTTTTTCAATAAAAGATAAGAAATAGATAAATGAATGAACAACTTACTGGTAATGGTCAATAACAAAATTAATTGCAGTAGATATAAAACAGTGACTCCATTGCGGATTTTCTATAATTTCCCTTATTAGAGCTCTGAAGAGCTAGGAATTAGATCACAGAGTTATTTTAAAGTCAAACTCTGCAGGCATCACTTTAAATAAGATTGGTCAGTGTTTAGTGATAGAAAAAAGAATTTAGCTTTGATAAGTTCTAAACTTTTTTTTGTTATTTGCACACTTAATATAGTGGATGTTAATATAATGAATAATGATAAGAAAATATGAACTGTGTGAACAAGTAGGTTTAATTATGCATTATAGAAAGCAATGCATAAACCACCTTTCTATCATCAGTTTTCTTCTAATGATTATATTTCAGTGTGTAATAATTTAGTCATGGATGAGTGATGTGGCTCCTATGTGTTACGTTAGTAATAGCTATTAATGGTTTTAACAATGTTTGATATCCTTATTCATACGAATTCCTCTACAGATCGTTCCTTTAATGAGTCAGTATGGCAATGGAAATCACCTTATGGAATTCTGTTGCAGGTTCACATTGGATATTTTCAAAATTGCTTAAAAAATTATTTGCAGTTCGTTTTCATTACATATTATGAATAAAATCTGTTCACATATGACGACAAACAGGTTGCCGAAGTAAAACGTTTTCGGCCTTAATTAAAATCCATGTAAAGTGCTGTTCTAACTTACTGCTAGTAGTTTTCAATGTCTACGACAAATTCTGCTCAATTATTGCAGTATTATCCGCCTTGCAAGACATTGCAAAGCATTTCAAAATTTTACATCAAGCTACAAAGATCTTTGCCAAATGAATAAATGCAGTAGGGTTTGAAACATTAAATAATGATAACGTTCAAAATATGCAAGCATTTAATTTCTAAGCCTTGTCTAGCACTTACTGCCTTCTCCTTACTATTTTTGTAAATGTTATGCTCTTTAAAAAGTTTATTAATTTGTCTAAAGAATAAAGAGCTCATACTGTCGTCAGGCATCAATCATTCCTGTTATTATTTCTACTTCTGCAATGCTGGAGTAGAATGTGATGGTAACCAATGCTCTCTAACTAACTCTGAATCTGTTATGTACTGGCATCGATCTGCATCTGTGTTTCCGCTTACTTATTTACACGAAACACATATTATTCATTTATTTTTCATTCCTTATCAATCTACTTATAGTAGATTTGTAGTGAAGTAAGTTAACTGGCGGTGATTTTTTGCTTATAGAAAAAGCTTCTGAAAAGTTAAGCAATTCCGTCATTCATAGTAATCGAATATTTTGGGTAGTTTTACAGTTTATTTATATACAGTTTCTGTGGAATTATCTTATTACTACAAGAATTTTTCATCATAATGTCGAATTATCTTATTATTAGTTCTATTTTCAAATGTGTCGTATGTTTTGTCAGCTTATTTAGTATAGCTATAGAGAATTCAATAAGAATACTACAAAACTCCTTTACAATTTAAATTGAATATTATTTCACTTCATTTTACTGTTAACAGTTCATAATTTGTTTTTTTTTTGTGTTTTCATCAGATTTGGAAGTTTTCTGTTATTTTCTTCAAATGCTAAGACAGATTGTATTCATCAGATATTTTTTCACATTTTCTCGCATCACTATTATCCGCTTTCTCTCCACGAGAAATTTTTATGATACATGCAAATTTTGCGAAGTATATTTCAATATCGAAACCCTTTTGTATCGCCAAAAACATCTTAGTAACTTGTGATCTCTTCATCGATATCATACCAACCAAGATTTCCCTATACGTGTCATGTCAAATTAACCTCTCTAGTTCTAAAATCCATTAATTTTGAATATTTTAGTTCTAGCTACATCTGGAAAAACATAATTAAACATTTCTGTAGCATGTTCTCTACTATTGCAAATAATTGCAAAATATCAATGTCGTTCTCAAATTGAATACTACAAAAGAAATTTCGACCTATAGTTAATCACAATCTTGATATATAGAGAAATTAACACTGTACAGAAGCATTAGACTTATTGATGATGCCTCATGCTTTTAAAGACACCCGTTATGATTAACAAATTCAGTCAATATTTTAATCGCTAAAAATTTTTTGTGCTATAAACTATTGAAAAAATGCAGTATATCAAATTTTCTGACTTTTTTGGTACAAAAAAGGCTTGTTTTCCAATTAATCAAATAATGGTGTTGATTAATAAAATTTATGCATTATTTTAACTAGATTTTTGAAGTTAATATCTCGTTAAATTTTTTAGGTGCGGTTAATTTTGACTCAATTTATATCACTTTTGAACTGATGGAATAAAACAGAATTTTTAGAAAAAAAAATTATTACTTTATTGTAAAGTTCGTATTTTCAAAAGTATAAGAAGATTAAAAAAATACAGTTTGCAATTAAGTTGTGAAAAATTTGCCAGTCTTTTAAGTCTAATATTGGATCTTTAAAAATTTGTAGTTTTTTTTATTTATTTGACATTAAGACATAAAACTTAAATTCTCTTAGTTAACCGCCATAAAAATGCAAAAATGAATTTGTTGGCTGCAGTTAGTAAATTTAATCTCGAGCACAATATTTGTTCAAAACCAAATTGTAGTCATGCAATCGTTACGTTAGTATTAAAATGGCATCCATTTAACGTACTGTCAGCATTTTTGATGTGTTCATCAAATTAATTTGTAGGACTTTCATAATTTTCAAAAGAGTGAATTTTTCACCTAACTTTATTATATGATCATATTTACCAAATAATGAAATGAAATCATTGGATTAGTCGCATTCATAGAAAACTCTGTTCAAAAGCTTCCAGCTTCTCTAGACAGCCTAAGAAAATTCTGTGCTTTCATTATTTTTTTAAGAGCTTCAGGTGAATGTTTGGATTGTTGTGGGTGCATTAAGTATGGAGACGATTTTTGGAAACGCAATGGTCATAGCTGCTTATAAGCTTGAGCGGAGCATAAGCAAACAGGTGAAATTTATTTAATTTTTCTCACTATATATATATGGTTAGTTTTAATTTTCGCTTTATCGGTTCTGGCGCTGGATCGCATTGCTTCACTCTGGCAGCACTTGTCCCATGCTCAGATTTGTTGTACTCAACATTCTTGCTTGTCCTCGTGAAATCCATATCGACTGTCGAAGGAGATGCTTTCGAGCGTCTTCTTGAGAACTATCGATTGGAGCTATGCCTCGATGTGGTCTGATATACCAATTTCCTTCGCACACCGTTTGTAGAAGTTCTTACAACCCCACCCCAAGTCATCACATCCGGAACAATTTTGATCCTGCATTTCATCTCTGACCCAAGCTCATTAGCAAGTAGATCATATTTTCGCTTTTTCTCGTTCTCGACTGCTGGGTAACCTGTCCTGACTAGTGGTGCCAACCTTAATCAGGATTGCTTCACGTCGCTTCTTATCGTGTATCATGATATCCGCTCGATCCCCTTTATTCTGATAGCAGTTCTCACTCGCGTATCGACTCTGATTTCAACGTTCTCGTTAGCGACGATTTCCTGAACGGAGTGACTCCGCAAGCTTTTAGACCATACTTTTTTAAAGTTCTAAATGAATACATCGCAGGACTTCATTGTGTCGTCTAGTATAGTCATGATATAACATTTTCTCACACTGCGTTGCTAAATGGTCCACCGTCTTCACACGTTGCCTACAATGTTGTCACATACCTTTCTCAGCTCCAAACACATTTCTGTCTCGGAAGTGACAGTATCGCGCTTCATTTCGTAGCGTAATATTTCCAAATCGTAGCCACGAGTTTGACATCGAAGCTAGCTCATTTCTGCGTACTTTAGTGTAGCTTTGCGTGTCGACTTTTCTTTTCTATTTCGCTATGTAAATGTGCTTTCTGGGCTGCTAATACGTTTTTCGACGGTTGGATTTTCTACGAGGTTGTATTTAGTCTGAAAGTAGGGTAAAAAACTGCTAAGTACGTATTTTGAGTCTTTTCCTGCTTCAAAATTGCTGCCCTCCTGGTAGATATGGGCGCACTTTCTACAAAAACATTATGTAGTTGGAGAAGCATAAGCTCACTCTTCTGCCAAACATTATGAAGTCCACGTCCTAGCTTGTCCCTTGGCAGGTACAGTCTCTCCTAACATGCAGGTTGGATGTGAATTCCGTGCTTAATTAGTAACTGTCTGGTATGATGATGGTCAATTGCTCGAAAGGCTTCTGGTTCCAGTTTCAGCACCCCAGTATAATAGTAAATTAATCCTATGGCATGCTCATTTACTGCCTTGGTAAAGTTCTTGCCGTTTAGTGCAGTTTTGGCTAGTCGTTTAATTTTCGCCAAAATCTCTGTAGCTTTCTCGAGTTGGAGCGCTAGTTCTACCATCCATTATGCCATGGGTCCTTTCCCTTCCATCCGAGCAGATCCGCCTAGTTATTTTATACAGATCTGGATGTAAGGAGGTGCACTTTTTAATGAAGAAGTTGTTCCATCAGGGCCTACAGCCTTCCATTTGGGCAAACAGGGAAGATATCGACTTCAGGTGGGAAAGTATCATGCTGTTGAGAGTCCGGAATGAATTCCTCCGGATATTCATTGTGCCGATTATCGTCTTCTCCCATTTTCGAATTCCACATCGTGGCCCAGACCTTTCTAATTTCTTCCGTCCCTACATTCTGGCTAACAGGTTGTTCCTTAGTTAGTTTTTTATAAGACTGCCTTCTGAACAACTAAAATCTGGTGTTTTGACTTTTGAATAAACATTGGGACTCATAATTTAATATTTTATTTTGATAAACTCTCACACGTTCTGTCAGCATGCTTAAGGCCTCATGACAGCCACGTTTGAGAGCAAGTGTGAGGTTCGTACCTTTCATACACTTTTCGGTCTCCTTCAGGTTTTTACATTCAAGTATTTCACCTGCCAAATATCGCTCTGTAAGTGTTTTGTAAATGTTAATTTCACCTATGTTCTTTTCTATGTTTGCCTTCCACATCGATGGCTTCTTTTCATGCTTTGTCATCTCTTCGTAGCATTGTTGTGCCACCTGGAATTGCCTTGAAAAATCAGCCACTGACTTGGGGGGCTTTGTGTGGCATATTCACCTGCCGCTTGGTTTATCGCTTCAAGTATAAGCAGGTCAACTTTCTCTAAGATTATTTTTCGCATCCACTTTGTCTGGTCTATCTCACGTCCTTGTCTCATTGCATCAGCACTAAATATTTCTCTTTCACATCTAGATAAACCTGAGACTCGTGCAGTGTGTTTTGCTCCATACGTATCTTGTGTTTTGATACGTTTCGTTGACTCCTCCAAGAACCGTTTCTGCGATCACGGACGTCATGCAATACTGATTGCAGCATTCGCTTTTTTCTTCAGTTCTTCAAGGCTAATCGCGCACCCATGCTTCTCGCAATTCGCAATACAGGGAACGACACAAGGGCCATATCCCTCTCGGCACCATCCCAAAACGGTCAAGAACCGCCTTCAGCACTTAACCTGGCCTGCTGCTTTGCGGTATTTCGATTCCTCGAATGATAACTCCAAGCGTAATCATCCTACTGATTTTGGTTCCGGTAAGCTGGCAGAGTACTCTTTTACACCTTTCAAGGAGCTTTTCACAACCTCATCTGCTTTCCCATTGTTTTCCATTATGATTCCTTATGCGGTTTTTTTCCGTTCATCCTCCATTTCCCTTCCGGTCTTCTGATATCCTGACTGTACGACCACATAGCCTTCTTTTCGGTTTCTATCTCATTTTTCAATGGGCTTTTCTTCTACTACATTCATTCCATGCGTGTTATTCTTCACTTTCTTTCCTTGTTTCGTCCTCGATGCTTTAGAAATACTGCATCAAGGCGTGGCATGAGTATTGTCGTTATGGTATATCTTTCCTTTTTGCCTCTTGGAAGCAATCTGTGATATGGAAGGACTTCAGAGACTCGTTCCCAGCCATTAGTTAACTGATCTATTGGTCTGCTGGAATGTTCTCTCGTACTGCTACCATATCCACCGTTCTG